GGGGGCAGGACCGGCGCGCACCCCCGCGCCGACCCCCAGCGGCTGCCCAAGGCGGCGCCCCCCGAGCCCGCGCTGCAGATGGCCAACTCGAACTTCCTGTCGCCACTGGCGCCCGAGCACTGCCGGCCGCTGGCAGGCGAGTGCATGAACAAGCTCAAGTGCGGCGCGGCCGAGGCCGAGCTCATGAACCTGCCCGAGCGCGTGGGCACCTTCTCCGCCATCCCCGCGCTCGGCGGGCTGTCGCTGCCGCCCGGCGTCATCGTCATGACCGCGCTGCACTCGCCCGCGGCCGCCTCGGCCGCCGTGTCGGACAGCGCCTTCCAGATCGCCAACCTGGCGGACTGCCCGCAGAGCCACCCCGCGTCGTCGCCCGCGTCCTCGGGCGGCGCGGGCGGCGCCAACCCCGCCAAGAAGAAGCGGAAGCGCTGCGGGGTGTGCGTGCCCTGCAAGCGCCTCATCAACTGCGGCGTGTGCAGCAGCTGCAGGAACCGCAAAACGGGACACCAGATCTGCAAGTTCAGGAAGTGCGAGGAGCTCAAGAAGAAGCCCGGCGCGGCGCTGGAGGTCAGAGGAGAGGGTTTCTTGCTCCCCGCGCCCCCCCCTCCCGGGCTGGACCCCCGACCCCCGGCCCTGCCAGGCTTCCTGCCCGGCTTCGGGGCGCAGCGCCCCTTGGCGGAGGCCGCTGTGTTCAGGTTGTAGGAGGCGCTGGGGGGGCGGGCGGCCCGGGGCTCGCGGTGCCACCCCCAGAGCTGCACGCGCGACGCCGCCCTCCTGCGGGGCGGGGCGGGGCGGGGCGCGCGGTTCCCCGCGGGTGGGGCAGTGGGATGGTCAGGAACCACCGCGCAGAGCTCAGCTGGGCCAGGGCTGCCCCTTACTCGGTCCAGATGCCCCTCCCTGTGTTACAAAAATGTGCCCGAGCGCCTGACACCTCACATCCTGTGTGGATTCACTGGCTCGGGGGACAGTGGCCAGGTGTGAGCGGGAGGACGTAGATGGTGGCACACAAGCTTGTGTTTGATTCAGAAGGTTTTCCATCCATCCCCTCCTGGAGCAGGTTTTCTCCTTTGTATGATAACGGCTCTTTCTTTTTTCCTTTTTTCTGTTTCTTTTCTTTTTTTTTTTTTTTTTTTTTACCTGCCTGTTATTTTTTGAGAAAGCAGCAATAATATAAAAAACTGAAGGCCATCAGCAATTTTTAAGGAGAGATGACTGAGAATTTAAAAGGACAGGTCCAATCAGTTCATTTGAGGACATGTGATCGGGATTGTGTTTGAAAAGCAAGTTACATAGTTTCAGAAATGAATGATTCCTGAAACTCAGTTACAACAAGGAAACGAAGTATCTTCCT